CTTTGGCTTAGTTACAGAGGCCCTTTGCAGACTGCTAGAAATAGTGCAAATTGAGGCCACTTTAACTGTCCTGGCTCAGTGCTATGGAATCATGGGAATTGTATTTTTTCTCTAGACATTGAGCCTTCTCTGTCAGAGAGCTCTGGTGCCACAATAAACTACAGTTCCCATGATTCCCTAGCACTGAGCCAGGGCAGTTAAAGTGGACTCAATTTGCACTATTTCTAGTAGTCTGTAAAGGCCCAGAGATGAGTACCACTCCTATGGTTGGGCATGACTTGACAACCTTGTCAAGGGAAATACCTTTACCTTTTACCTATATATATAGATATATATATATATTATACCATATACATAGTATACTCTATAATATAGTATGAGAGCTTTGAGTGTTGGATTGTGACTCTGGAGACCAGGGTTCGATTCCCAGCTCAGCCGTGGAAAGCCCACTGGGTGAGCCTGGGCAAGTCACACTCTCTCAGCCTCATGGCAAAAACCTCCTATGAAGAAGCCTTGCCCAAAAAAAGCCCAGGATAGGGTCACCGCAAGTCGGAAAAGACTGGGAAGGCAGACAACAAAGAAAAGCACAGAATAATACAGTGTAATATAATGTCAAATAACCAATTCCCTTGGATACCTACACACCCCTCCTCCTCCTCCTCCGGCTCCGCAGCCGCCTCTGAGCCCCGACGGAGGCTGAGCTGCCACCGCGGTCTCCTCTCGCCTCGTCCCGCGAAGCCCAACCACCTCGGCAGCCCTTCCTTGCCCGGGAGAGAGGGAAGCGGGGCCCCGGAGGGTCCACACACCCGCCCTCCCGGCGCTCCCTTCAGCTCCAACGGCCCACTCCGGTTCTCCTCAGGCGCCTCAGCCTCCCCTCGTTTCCCTCCCTCACGGCCATATAGCTCCGGCGCACAGCGTCCCGCCCACAGGAGCAGCCTGGGAAATGTAGTCTTCGGCCTAGGCCCCGACCGGAAGAGGCGGGGACTGCGAGACACAGAATGCGGGAAGCTAAGCAACTCATCCTATATCACCGCCATTACTAAACCCCGCCATTGTTTTATATACGCATGCGCGGGGAGGACTTTGAGGCTCCATTGAAAGCCTTAGTAGCGCTGGGCTGCTTCCTTTCTTCATTTAATTTTTTTTTAAATGCCGCCTTTCCCCTAAAATTGATTAAAAATAAATAAAATAAATAAATATAAATAAAATAATAAATAATAAATAAAATAGATAAAAACCCTTTAAAAATACTTTAAAAACACAATTAAAATAACCTAGTTAAAACAGTATGAAATTAAGATTAAAAACATAACCTAAAACACATACCCCATATAAAAGCCCATCTTCTTGCTGTTGCTGCTGCTGCCTGCATTCAAGTTGTTTCTGACTTATGGGGAGCCTATCATGGGTTTACACAGCAAGTTTCCTCAGAGGGAGTTTGCCATGGCCGTCCTTTGAGGCTGAGAGAGTGTGACTTGCCCAAGGTCACCCAGTGGATTTACATGGCAGAGCTGGGATTCGAACCCTGGTCTCCGGAGTTGGGAGTCCAACCCTCAAACCACTACACTGCTCAGGCTCTTACAGCTATATTATATATACTATTTTATATGTGTATATATGTGCACACACACACACACATGCATACTGTATATACTGCAGTGTATACATACAGTTGTCCCTCCCCATTCACGGACTTCGAGTCCCAAGTCTTGCTGTTCCCGGGAGGGACAAGTGGCTATAGATAAAATGGCGGCGCGCACACATGCGTGGCCTTGCACATGTACCATTATTTTCAATTGGGCTCAAATATTTGCGAGCCGCCATTTTCGTGGGGGTGACTCAGGAATGGATTCCTTGCAATTTGGGAGGGGCAACTGTGCATACACACACACGTATCACATGCTATAATATTTATACACACACACACATATAATGTGTGCTTTCAAGCAGTTTCTTACTTATGGCAACCCTATCATGGATGATTTGTGGCAACTTTCTTCAGAGGGGTTTCCCATTTCCATTCTCTGAGGTTGAGAGAGTATGACTTGCCCAAGGTCATCCAGTGGTTTTACATAGCTGAGCTTGAGTTCAAACCCTGGTCTCCAGAGTCCAACACGCAAATCACTATGCCATGCTGGCTCTTCTACAGTGCGGCATTAATGCAGTTCGACCAGGATGACCAGGTGTCTTCCTTTTGCAGGAAATAACCTTCATTTCAGCCCTCTGTTCAGGAGGAGTTTCAAAATGTCCTCCATTTGGAGCTTGACTAAGAAGCATTACTTTACATGTCTGTGGGTGTTTTTAGCTTTTATTTGGTCATGTCCCACCTTTCCCTTGAATAATAACAATAATAGTGATAATAGTAGAATAGCAATAGAAGTATAGTGTCTATCAAGGGAGGTACTGTAATAGTGCCACTCTATTCTGCTTTGATCAGGCCTCACCTGGAATATTGTGTCCAGTTCTGGGTACCACGGTTCAAGATGGTTAAGAGGTGATATGATATGATAGCCCTGTTAAATATTTGAAGGGATGTCATATTGAGGATGGAGCAAGCTTGTTTTCTGCTGCTCCAGAGAATAGGACCTGGAGCAATGGATTCAAGTTACAGGAAAAGAGATTCCAGCTAAATATTAGGAAGAACGTCTTTGGAAGTCTTTAAACAGAGGCTGGATGGTCATTTGTTGGGGGTGCTTTGTAAAAATTGAATTTGTTCTTCTTGTGTCCCTTATGGTGACCCTAAGATGATGAATTTTGGATCAAAATTCAAAATGACCTTAATAGATTAAAAAAGCTAACAAAATTAATTTCAACACAGAGAAATGTAAGGTACTGCACTTAGGGCAAAAAATAAACAAATTAAATGCATAGATATAGGATGGGGGACACCTGGCTTGACATCAGTACATGTGAAAGGGATATAGCAGGGGTAGGCAACCTTTCCCCTTTAAGGGCCGAGGGACTTCAGCTCCCAGAATCCCAGGAGCTATTGGCCAGCATGGGACTATTGGCCAACATGGCTGAGGCTTCTGGGAGCTGAAGTCCCTCGGCCCTTAAAGGGGAAAGGTTGCCTACCCCTGGGATATAGGAGTCCTAGTAGACCCCAAGTTGAACATGAGTCAACAGTGTGGTGCAGCAGTTTAAAAAGCCAATGTGATTCTAGGCTGCATCAATAGAAGTATAGTGTCTAGATCAAGGGAAGTAATAGTGCCACTCTAGTCTGCTTTGGTCAGGCCTCACCTGGAATACTGTGTCCAGTTCTGGGCACCACAATTCAAAAAGGATGCTGACAAGTTGGAGTGTGTCCAGAGGAGGCCAACCAAAATGGTGAAGGATCTGGAAACTGCGCCTTATGAGGTCCTAGGTATGTTTAGTCCAGAGAAGAAAAGGTTAAGAGGTGATATGATAGCCCTGTTTAAGTATTTGAAAGGGTGACATGAGGATGGAGCAAGACTGTTTGCTGCTGCTGCAGAGACTAGAACATGGAGCAATGGATCAAAACTACAGGAAAAGAAATTCCACCTCAACATTAGGAAGAACATCCTGAGGGTAACAGCTGTTTGACAGTGAAACAAACTCCCTAGGAGAGTGATGGAGTCTCCTTCTTTGGAGGTCTTTAAACAGAAGCTGGATGGCCATCTGTCAGGGGTGTTTTGTAAAAGTGGAATTTGTTGTTCTTGTGACCCTTATGGTGACCCTAAGACAGTGAACCTATCATTGGGTTTTCTTGGCAAGTTTCTAAAGAGGGGGTTTGCCATGGCCATCCTCTGAGGCTGAGAGAGTGTGACTAGCAGCACTATAAGAGGGTAATTTAGATTACTGCACTGCACTCTTATCGCCCTGTTATTCCAACTTTAACTGCTCTGGCTGCCTCCTCTTGCATTCTGGGATTTGCAGTTTAGGGAGGGACATTTAGAATATTCAAAGAGGGCTTAAGGCTGCATCCACACTGGAGAAATAACTTGGTTTGGCACAGCTTTAACTGCCCTGGCTCAAGGATATGAAATTCTGGGAATTGGAGTTTGTTGTGGATCCAGAGCAGAGCAGAGCTTTAACTGCCCTGGCTCAAGGGTATGGAATTCTGAATCCAGAGCGGGCCCCACAACAAACTCCAATTCCCAGAATTCCATACCCTTGAGCCAGGGCAGTTAAAGCGGTTATTTCTACAGTGTGGATGCAGCCTATTAGTTAGGCCTCACTGAACTACAAACTCCAGAATGCCACAGGAGGCAACACACAGCAGTTAAAGTGGAATAGCAACGCTTTAAGAGTGTGGTGCGGTAATAATCTCCTTATAAATTATTGAAAACGCAAGATTTTGACACAGAACGAAGCCTACGCCAACGGCCTCCCTTTTAATGGAAACGCGAGAGCGGGCTGGCGGTTGCCATAGTTACGGCTCCACCTGCGGCGCCCAGCTATGACGACATTTAAAGGGGCCGGCGACGCCTTGTTGTTATTTCCGGAGGCAGCGGTGCAGAAGCTGTCTAGTAAGTTGACGTTGGTTGGAGGGCCAGAAGGCAAGCGGCGTCTCGGTGAGCGGCTTTTTGCAGGGATGAGGGTCTCCAGGCCGCCTTTTGGCAGGGAATGGAGGGCTTTGTTGTGGGTAGGGTTGCCTTTAAGTCGTTACTGACCTATGGCGAGCCTATCATGGGGTTTTCTTGGCAAGATTTGTTCAGAGGAGGTTTGCCTCTGAGGCTGAGAGAGTGTGACTTGGCCAAGATCACCCAGTGGGTTTCATGGCCCAGCTGGGAATCAAACCCTGGTCTCCAGTGTCACAGTCCAGCAGTCAAACCATGCTGGCTCTACATTTTATTCTATTATTATTAAGTACAATTTGGTTGTTGTTGTGTGCCTTCAAGTAGTTTTGGTTTATGGCGACCCTAAGGCAAAGCTATCATGGGGTTTTCTTGACAAGTTTAATTCAGAAGGGGTTTCCCGTTTCCATCCTCTGAGGCTGAGAGAGTGTGACTTGCCCAAAGTCACCCAGTGGGTTTCCATGGCCAAGCTGGGATTCGAACCCTGCTCTCCTGAGTCTTAGTCCAGCACTCAAACCACTACGCCACACTGTCAATGTTGGGTGCCTTCAAGTTGTTCCCAAGTTATGGCTGACCCTATCATGGGATTTTCTTGGCAAGATTTCTTCAGAGGAGGTTTGCCATGATAATGATAATAATGATAATGATAATATTAAATTTTATTTATACCCTGCCCTCTGTGCACAATCGGGGTGGCTAACAACAATTAAAAATACATAGAGTACAAATCAAAAAAACCCAATACCTACCCACCCTTAACAAAGTATTAAATCAGACACTGATTAAAACATCTTCGGCTAAAACATAAAAGAAAAGAAAGCAATTTGGGGATGAAATAGCAAAGTTAACATATAGGGTTAAAATTGGTTTCACTTAAAGGTATAAAATGACTAAAATGATAGTAGAATAATGAGAGCTAATAAATAGGAGGTATATGAAGTAGAAGAGGTGATAAGCTGAAATAAATCTGTACATATTGTCAAAGAACTAAGGAAGTTTATGTTAAGTGGTGTTAAGTGGTGTTATGTTAGGTTGTTAGATTAGTTATGTTATTTTGTTTATTGTTAAGTTATGTTTTTTTGTTCTGTTTTTTTTGTTTGTGTTATGTACGTTATATATGTTATTTTAATAAAATTAATAAAAATTTAAAAAAGAAAAGAAAAGAAAACCATAAACAACAAAATCTAACAAAAAAATGAATTTGCCTTGCCTTCCCTTGAGGCTGAGAGCATGTTGCCAGGTGCCCCTCATTATGAAGGGATGCCCCCCCTTGTTTAAGGGTGGGAAAACATTTCCTTTTCCTTTTACAGAGACTGAATAAAATGTCCTAAATCCTGTATTTTGGGGAGTGGGCTCTTCACAAAGGTCGAAACATCACTTGTGATTTTGGACAATCATAATATATTAATGCTACAGAGAAATGTATGACAACGTTAACAGAAATTGGTATCATTTAGGATTTAGGTAGAGTTGTTGCTGCGTGCCTTCAACTCGTTTCTTACTTATGGTGACCCCAATGCTTGGGGTTTTCTTGGCAAGATTTGTTCAGAGGGGGTTTGCCATTGCCTTCCCCTGAGGCTGAGAGCATGTTGCTGGTTGCCCCTCATTATAAAGGGAGGCCCCCCATTTTAAAGGGAGGCCCTCTGAGGGTGGGAAATCTTTTCCATTTACAGACACTGAATAAGATGCCCCAGATTCTGTATTTTGGGGTGTGGGCTCCTCAGAAGGTTGAAACATCATTTGTGATTGTGGACAATATATTAATTTTAAAGAGAAATGAATAGCTCAGTTAACAGTACTATTGTTATTATTTTATTTACTTATATCCTGCCTTTCTCCCAATATAGGGAATTTTCAAGGTGGTGAAATTGATATTATTTGGTATCTAGGCAGAGGAGGGTTTGCCATTGCGTTCCCCAGAGGCTGTGAGCATGTTTCCAGGTGCCCCTCATTTTAAAGTGATGCCTCCTGTTTTAAAAGGAAGCTTTCTGTTAGAAAGTGAGAAAAAATAAAGTGAATAAAGCCCCAATCCTGTATTTTGAGGATTGGGCTCTTCGTAAAGGTAGAAATGTAATTTGCGATTTTGGACAATGTAATATTTTTACAGAGAAATGTATGGATAACTTAACAGAAATTGGTTTTATTTGGTATTTAGTTAGAATTGTTGTTGTCTGCCTTCCAAGTAATTTCCAACTTATGACAACCCTAAAGTGAACCTATCATGGAGTTTTCTTGGCAAGTTTCTGTAGAGTGACTTTGCCACCATTGCCATTCTGAGGCTGAGAAAATGTGACTTGCCCAACATCATCCAGTGGGTTTCATGGCTCAGCGCAGGTTTGAAGCTTGGTCTCCTGAGTCATAGCCCAACATTCAAATCAAGCTGTTGTTCTTGTTGTGTGCCTTCAAGTTGTTTCCAACTTATGGCAACCCTATGGCAGACATCTCATGAGGTTTTCTTGGCAAGCTTTGTTCAGAGGTGATTTGCCATTGCCATCCTGAGGCTGAGAGAGTGTGACTTTCCCAAGATGGGTTTCATGGCTGAGCTGGGAATCAAACCCTGGTCTCCACCATGCTGGCTCGCCCTGTGTGCCATGAATTTTGACTGTCCCTTATTAGTATTTTGAAAAATTGTCAGCACTAGTGGTGGATGATAATAAATTGTAGCTCACAGAGAGTGCTTTCAGATATTGAAAATGCATCCTCCCTTTCTCTCATTCAGTCTGTGTAATATTTATATTTCACCTTTCCTCAAGGATGTGCAGTTCCTTCTGCTCCTAATTTTTATTCTCGCAACAAATCCTCTGAGATAGATGAGAGACAATGATTGGGCCAAGCTTGCTTAAGGAGCTACTAAATAACATAAGGGAGTGGGAACTGGAACCCATCTCTCTCTCTAGCTTTAGACCAACACATTTAATACACAACACCTTATTTTGTAAAGTATTTTGTATTTATCAAGAGAGAGATGGTGTTACAAGTGTATGCATGGGATGTGGACAAAATGGAGAGGGAAAATTTTTCTTTTCATTCTCACAACACTGCAACCTGGGATCATCTAATGAGGCTCAGTGATGGGATGGGAGCCCTGGTGGGTTGAGGGGGTGCTAAATAAATGTCTTAAATAATACATAATTCTTCACATACCACGTAAAACTAAGGAATTGCTATGTAGTAACGGCCGTCAAGGGGAGTGAGGCAGATTCAAAGGGTAAAGACATTGAGAACTACTAATCATGATGCCTGTATGCTACGTCTAAGGCTGGAATACTAGTTATTTGGGAAGAGAAACAGGAAAAATTTCTTATCCTCCTGCACTGCTATGAACTTCATAGCTAATGTGAGCTGCTGTTACTGTCTTATTATTGGTTTCTTGTATTATATAGTAATACAATACATTTTAAGGCAATCATTCACATACTATAAAAAATACAGCTAAAATACATATAACATAAAAATAAAACAGATGGCATGATAATCACTTTTACAAGCTTGGGGTGTGTTGTTGTTTTGCTCCTTCAAGCCATTTCTGACTTATGGCGACCATAAAGCAAACCTAACATAGAATTGTCTTTGCAAAATTTGTTCAGAAGGGGTTTACTCTTGCCTTCCTCTGAGGCTGAGAGTGTGTAACTTGCCCAAGGTAACCTAGTAGATTTCCAAAGCCAGCAAAAATTCAAACCCTAGTGATATTCCATTGTCTGTGGAATGGCCAGAAAAGCAGCCTCTGAATATCTTGCAAAGGTTGGTTGGATGCTATAAAGTAAGGTGATCTGCTAAGTATGCTGTTTTTAGATTGTTGGGGCTTTTGTATGTCAGCAACAACACCTTGCACATGGTACATGAGTTAAAGGTGAGTTGCTTAGGACTAGTTCATTCATCTTCTGACAGTCTTCAGCTGCAAAAGAAAAGAGTCTTGTGGCATAGTGAAGACAAACAGATTTATTGTGATATAAGCTTTAATGGATTACAGCCTGCTTGAGGAGGCTCATGGTTAAGCTCAGAAGATTGTTACTTTTATGAGTTATCACTCATTGTACCTATTCAGTGTACATTTGTAGTACATAAGAATTTTAGTAATGCTTTTGTTAGACTTGTCATGTTTGAGCCATTCAGCATTAGGAGTTCCAGGAAGATTATTTCTCAATTCCATCAACAACTGCTTTTCTACAGGAGTGAGTGGCAGATGTGTGTTCATCGGGAAGAAGAGTAAGGAGTGTAATAGGAACTATTATGCCTGCCTGTGTTTGCCCAGGACCTGGCCCTGTTTTTTATCTCTCAGCCTGGCCCCCCTTAATACAATATATAAATAGCCTATTCATTTTATGAAGTAAATAGGCTATTTATGTTGTTGCTGTTGTTGTTGTTAACTACCCTTGTGTCAACGTGGACTCATGGCAACCCTGTGCATGAGACATCTCCAAGCCCCTCAATCCTGAACCTCCTTGCTCAGGTCCTGCAGGACTAGGCTTGTATCATCTCTGACTCTAAAACATCTGGCATGTACAAAAACATCCAAACAATGATACCTTTATTGGACCAACCAAAATGTGCAACTACATGTTGCAAGCTTTCAAAGTCCTGGGTCTGCATTTTCTGTTTCTGATCTCAGTCCACATGTTAGATGTTGCAACATGTACTTGTGCATTTTGGTTGACCCAATAAAGGTATTGTTTGGATGTTTTTGGATTTGCTGTATGGCCCACACGGCTAGCCCTAGATGTTTTTTGGATGTCAAGATTCTACATTTTAGCTGTCACAGGGGAATCCTAAAGAGAGAGGCAACACACGGGAACCTTGCTATCTAAGACTTCTGCCTCCAACAAAGGTAAAGCAATTTTTTCTAATATTGGGACTGG